TGTGGTCTTAAAGGCTTGAAGGTAAACAAGCGGCCATCTAGCTCAGAAGCAACAAAGCCCACATGGAAGAAGCACACCAGCCTGTGTGATCACGAGGTATCGAAGGGATCAGGTATGAGGCATTATCAGAACAAAAAATCATAGCATTGTGAATGGGGTGGGGGAGTGCGGAGTGGAGACCCAAAGCCCATTTGGAGGCCACTGGACATCCCCTTACAGAAGGGTCTCCAGGAGGAGATGAGCCAGTCAGGGTGCAATGTAGCAACGATGAAACATACAACTTTCCTAAATGCTTCCTCCCCCCACTCACTATTATGATCCCAATTCTACCTTACAAATCTGGCTAGACCAGAGGATGTACACTGGTACAGATAGGAACTGGAAACACAGAGAATCAGGGCAGATGATCCCTTTAGGACCAGTGGTGTGAGTGGTGATACTGGGAGGGTAGAGGGAGGGTGGATTAGAAAGGGGGAACCGATTACAAGGATCTACATGTGACCTCCTCCCTTAGGGACCGACAACAGAAAAGTGGGTGAAGGGAGACGTCAGACAGGGCAATATATGGAAAAATAATAATTTATAAATTATCAAGGGTTTGTGAGGGAGGGGGGAGTGGGGAGGGAGGGGAAAAATGAGGAGCGGATGCCAGGGGCTTAGGTGGAGAGCAAATGTTTTGAGAATGATGAGGGCAATATATGCACAAATGTGCTTTACACAATTGATGTATGTAGGGATTGTGATAAGAGTTGTATGAGCCCCTAATAAAACGATTAAAAAAAAAAAAAAGAAAGAAAATGTTTGCCATGGATGATCAGGTGTTTCTGGTGATGTTGTCTCTTGGGGGTTCACGTGACTCTGCTTTATGATATTTCCATGGGCATAAGGAAAATGCTGTTTCATGCAAGTTCCTGTGCAATATAACTTAATTGCCCTGTATAACGTGATGTGTCTCAGGAAACGTCTATAGTGGATGTTTAGTCAGAACAAAATTATCTCATGGAGTTTGAAGATCCTGGAAAAACTAAACTTAAATGAGTATAATGGGGTTTCTGAAAACTGCTGAGTCCAGGCACTGACTAAGCCATAGGGCAACATAGTTTAGGCAGCATGAATCAGTTTCTCAGTTCAAGCATGCCTGGGGCAGTTTCTTTTCTCTCAGAACCATATGGCTCCATGATGTTGTTGTGGAAGTACAGGTGATACACACATCGTTAACTCTTGCCAAAGAACGTTGCCTCTTGCAGGTTCACATGCTCCAGGATCTCTGTTGCCTTCTTCTGCAATACATCCATGCATCAACATTTTACAGAAACCCCAGGAAACTCTGCAAGGTTCAGTTTTCTCAAGGATCTTCAAACTACATGAGTTAACTTTGTTCTGAGATGCCTGAATTTCCACCATAGACATTTCCTGATAAACATGAAACTATACCATGTCTAACACCAACCCCAACCCTAATCCTAAAGTTAATTCTAATCCTAATCCTATGGATAACACCAAAAATAACCATAGCCCTTAAGTCTAACACCAACCCTAACTACAACCCAACACTAAGTCTGACACCAAGCCTAACCATAAACCTAACCCTAAATTTAACCTTAACTCTAAGTCAAATACCAACAGTAAACAGAACACTAAACCTAGGTCTAACACCAACCCTAATCCTAACCCTAAACCTAAAACTAGCCCTCACCCTAACCCTAAGTCTCACACCTACTCTAACCCTCACCCTAACCCTAAACTTAACCCTAATCCTATCCATAACACTGTCTAAAAGAAACCATAACCATAACCCTCACCTAACACTAACCCTAAGTCTAACATCAACTCTAACCCTAATTATTACCATAACCCAAACCCTAACCCTCAGTTCATCGCCAACCCGAAGTCTAAAATCAACCCTAACCATAAATCTAATTTAACCCTACATGTAACAGAACCCTAACCCTAAATCTAAACCTAATCATAACCCAAACTATAACCATAGCTATAACCTGAAGTTTAGCACCATCCCTAAACCTAACCAAAACCCTAGCCCTAAACCTAAGTCTAAAACCAAACTTAATCCTAATCTTAACGGGTATTTGGCGACTCGTCGCCATTCCCAGAGCTGCTTGGCCTCGGCCTAGAGGCGGGTGTCGGTTGCAGTGTCTGAGACCTAGGTCCCGACATCAAGAGAATCATCCTTCTCCCCTGGCCAGCGGTGGGAGAGCGCGTCCGGCGGGCTGGCGGGGCTCGCCTGCCCACACTCGCCTCCCCGTCCTCCGCAGCCTCCGCCCCGCCAGGCCTCGCCCGGACCTCCGAGCCCCGGCCTTCTCCTGCCGCGCCGTCACCGCCGTAGCTGTGCTCCACGGCCCCGCCCGCCGCTTCTCTGACCCGTTTGAGAAGCCAAGGAAGGAAACCAGGAAAAATGTCGCCATGAAGGCTGAGTACCGCTGCCGCCGCCGCCAACCCCGACGGCCCCGAACGCCGTGAGCCTGGGTCCCCGCCGCGCCCGCTCCGCTCCGACCGCCGCCTCCCCCGAGGCCCCCGGTTGATGCCGCAGAGCTCGCCCAGCGCCGCCACCACCGTCTCCGGCATGGACAAGAACAGCGGCTCCGGCAGCTCCTCCGCCTCCTCGGGCAGCAGCAAAGGGCAGCAGCCGCCCCGCTCCGCCTCGGCGGGCTCGGCCGGCGAGTCTAAACCCAAGAGCGGTAAGGGCCGCGGCGCTGCAGGTGGGGAAAGGGCCTGCTCTAGACCCCCGGGGGACCCAGGTTCTCTCCCCCCCGGGGCCCCTCTGTAGTCGTGCCGCTAGCATTCTTTACAGCTCGCTGAAGTAGGCGCTGCGCGTCTCCCTATTTTGCAGATGAGGACGCAGATGCAAAAAGGGCAAGCCCGGCCTGTAGGTAGTCTGGGCCTCCCAGCAGGAGGTCTGGCCCCTCTGGCCGCCTCATTATACCTTGAGTGTTGAATTCCGGGGTAGACGGGATGGTGGGGCCTACGGGCATCCTAGACCCATCCCTAAGTGTTCAGTCTGGCCTCCGAGAGCACGACTTAGCATCCCCTCCTAACTCCCAGAGTTTGCCTAGTGCCTTTACCTGTAGAGGTGGATTTAATAGTGGGAAAGATAAGAACTAGAAAAATAAAAGAGGAAAAAAATAAATGAGAAAAAATAAAAATAAAGGAAAGAGGTAGGGCTTTGTATCTGACTTTAGAGATACAATAAAAAGCAAAGGCCACAGAGTTGGTTAAGTCACTACTGTATGTAGGGTTTCTGAGAAGGTGCATTTATAGGAGCAGACAGCTTCTTTTTCTCACAAATTGGCTGGTGTGCTAATTTTTTGTGTTTAGCAGCTCATAGAGTTTAACCCACGTTACCACGAGGGCTCCTTAACCAAATTTGTAAGGGGGCTTCAAAAAGTTTATGGGAAAATGCCCTTATCTTTATTCCATGTATTTATTTGAACCCCCCCTGGTACATTGTTACTTTCCTGTATGTGAGACTGTAATATCAGCCTTTAACGGGGAAGATTTTGCCATATTTGTAGTCATGCCTCTGAATATTACAGTTTGATCATAACAATGATCCCTCAAACCAAACTAGACCCAATATAGGGTGTCCAAGATTGTAAAGCTTTCCGGGAGCAGGCAGCCTCATCTTTCCCATGCGGTGAGCCTGGTGGGTTTGAACGGCCAATGGTAATGTTAGCAGCCCAACGCTTAACTCACAGCACCACCAGGGCTCCATTTAATAATAGCGAGGACTTACTGTATGCCAGGGACTTGGGGCTTTTCTCTCTCTTGTTTACCTTTATTACGATCCATGGCACTAACCTATCCAGCCAGTTGAAATGATTCAAATAATCTGAAAAAGATGACTAATCTGAGAGGCTGTGAGGTAACCAGTTGGCTGAGTCTGGAATCAGGTATTTTCTAACTTCAAAGGCCATCTTTATTATTCAAACGAATCTTGGTTATATTTCATAGCCAGAACATGGTGCTTTCAGTGGCGCTGGGAGGTTTGTAGAGAGGAAACATTCAGTCACCCAATACAGAGTCCTGATTCTGTCAAAAGATGTTAAGGTCACAGTTGGTAGGCCTGACTTTTTCAGAGTTTACCTGCTGGGTATAGCAAACTTGTGGGACCTGTATGCCCTTGGTAGAGAGATTGCTGTGTATTTTAGTGCAGACCAGTTGTGTCAAGAATGCCCTTCAAGGTCCATGTAGGGATTAGTGTGGACGCTCAGGCCAGAAAGTAGTGTGTAGATTAGTTCTGGGGTTTTGCGCATACATAGATTTATCACAGATTTTACTTAAGTAGATTGATCCCTTTTGGGCTCTCTTGTCCAGCATTGGTAACTGGTTAACAGTGTAGTTGGTAATAGTTTAGAGTGATGTATTTTCCAGTGTAGTTGGTAACTAACATTATTTTTCTACACCCTTTCCAGATAAAATGCTAAAAATCTTGTTCTGCAGCCATATGAATTCTCAACTAATTGTTCTGGGGCTCCTGTTTGAGACATTAATGTACATTAATGTACATTCACGAGTTAGCTGCCATCAAGGCAGTGAATACCTGAAATGATAGCTTAAATATCTCAGTGAGGCAGTAAAGTGAAAGGTAGGACAACGTGAACAAAATAACAGACACAAAAATGAAGGTAGTTCAGGGATTTTACTCACATGTTCTTGGTTTTCAATGTACTAGCTAAGGTGGAACTAATTCTACCCAAGAGAACCATGCAGAACTCTCTGTCCTTGTCAGTGGTCATATTTCAAACAGACTTATATATAGAATAAATATTAAGTTCTGGGTTTACTCTGACTACTGAAAGTGTCTTCAGTTTGTACTGTTTTTCCTTCTCAGTCCTCTTTAGATGGGGAGAAGCCAAGAGCTGCATCGTAGATATGGTATGGCAGGTTATGTGACTGTTAACCGCAAGGTCAGCAGTTCAAAATCACCAGCTGCTCTACAGGAGAAAGATGAGGCTCCCTACTGCTGTAAGGAGTTACACTATCAGAAAATCACTGGGCAGTTCTGTGTCCTACAGGGTTACTGTGAGTTAGGATCACTACTCATAGTCAAATGTGGAGCATTGCTTCTAGTAAAAAATTAATTAAATACTCTAAAATGCATTTGAAACACTCTTCATTGAAAGCTCTTGAGGAAGGGGGAAATAAAAACTCACACAAAAGACCTAGCACTATAAATACTGGGGGAGGGGACAGAGTTCAAAAGTTCATGGGGAAATTATCTTTCAGTCCTATTTTTCCATGAACCTTTTGAAGCCCACTTGGATGTTTTGGGTTGCTTTGTGAAATAGGCTAGTATACCTTCTGGTAAATAATTTTTATTTAAGGTGTTGGTTATTAAAAAGCTACCATATTTGCTTGTCCAGGCAACGTTTTTAGCTATTGGTATGTATGTTTTTGTTTTTGTTTTTAAAGTCACAGTTGATGCCGACTCATAGTGACCCTATAGGGCAGGGTAGAGCTGCCCCTGTGAATTTCTGAGACTAACTATGGAAGTAGAAACTAGCCTCATCATTTCCTCAAGGGTTGGCTGGTGGGTTTGCACTGCTGACCTTGAGTAGTGCATTGTGTAACCGATACACCACCAGGGCTCCTATGTGTACATGTATGTGTATAAGTGTTGCCTAAAGGGAGGGTGGGTTTAAAGCCAACTACATTGTTCATCAACTGTAATCTACTCGTAGCATTTAGGAATAAATGAAAGGGCAGAGTAGATGTAAGTTACAAGATGTGAAACACTGTGGATATTGTTAACTCTTGAGTTTGAACTGAGGGCTAAAGCATATGGTTTTAAAAATATGACAAGTAAGACCAGTGCAGCTACATACAATGGATGTCATTCAGGACCTTAAAACAGTGACTTCTGGGTGTCTGGTCTAAGAGGTTAAGACTCAAGTTCAACATAATCTTCATAAAAACATTTCTTCACTATTTAAAAATTTGGTTCAACTCTTGATGTACTGGTTCTGATGGGATATTTGAGTTTGAGTTGGAAACGGTGAAGGAAGAACAGGAAGGGTAAATTGAGGAAAAAAGAAAGAACAAAGAATTTTAAAACATTTGTGTGAATTATATGGGTACTCTTTTTCCTTTCTCCCACCTCACGTGAGGGAAGGAAAACAACAAAATCCCCAAACAGAATGAAAACCTTTGATCTGTTTTCTCTAGTTATGTCTGTTAAAAATTACTTGCTCCCTAGCTACCCAGTTAATACACTCAAGTATATTAACTTTGTTCCTGTGGCTGGCTTAAGTTGGCTTTTCATTTGGACTCAGGAAATGGGTCGACCGAGCTCTAGTATTCTCTTGATCTTTCCTGCCACAGTAGCATACCACAGCTTCTTTACCTGAGTTCATTGCTGCAGACATTCATTCCTGTCCTTGGGCGTATTCCTACAGCTTCTTTCCATTGAGGGGAAGGTGCACATCTCAGAGCTGTCAACAGTGACAACTATCCCATGAAGAGAACCCAGAGGGAGAGAGGTGGTCTAGGGGTGTAGGGAAAGTCATTTCGAAAGAACAAAGACCATAAGAGAGGCAAGAGCAAGGCAGGGCAGTGTCTGAGCCAAACAGTGGGTCCTGGCTCAGGCTCTTGCCCCATCTCCCTGGCCCAGGGGTGGTGTTGCCGTGGAGGTTAAGGGAAGGTCAGGTATTATGAAGCACTTCTTTTGAGGTTGTTGGTAGGAAGCACTGCCCTGACTCTCTTCCGATACCAGAAGCCAGGTAGCTATTGGTAATCAGCCTTGTAGGATGCCTCGAGCTGTAAATGGAGTTGGACCTTTTAATGGCATTGGAAATGGAGGGGACTTGGACTCTTCAATCCAAACCGCTTAGAGCAGTTGCAAGAATGGCTGGAGTCCAGTGGCACTCTTGACCGATGATGTGGATTAGTAATAGGCTTTCAAACCATAGCAACTAAGTGCCCGTCCCAGGGCTGAGTATTTACCAGGAGCTTTTGCTTCAGCCTCACAGCCCTGTGAGGAGGGAGGGTCTAATTAGCTTACCTTGACAAAAAAACCCTGGTTTAGGATTGGAGTCCCGAGTAAATTGCTACCACTCATTGGCCATATTAGCACTTGGTGAAACCTCCTTTAGCAAACAGTCTCTGGCACACACATCCTTGTTTATCTGCTCCCTTCCTTTCATTCAGAATTAGCTAGTTTCAGCTGCATTCAATTTGTTGTCAGTTGATACTTGTAAAGTCACATTGATTCTTAAATCAGACCCTTCTGGAGGTACTTGTCAGCTACTTTTGATGACTGGTAAGCAACTTGCTTGTGATTACAGGATGAATCAGCAGCAGAAACTTCTGGGCTGGCATTCTGACCTCTGGGCTGTGCCACCTGTTAGAGCCAGAGCTAGAAATGTTGATGCCAAGTGATTTAACTGTGGAGACAAATGGCTGACTCATAGCTTGCTGATGGGGCGAAGAGATGGCGGTTTCAGAGGGGGCTTTGAAAAAAGTGTAGGAACCTCATGATCTTTCAGTAACATTTCCCATGGGCTTTTTGAAGCCCCCTCAGGTGACTGCTGTTACCTAGTGGAGGCCTTTCTTTTAGCATGATGGGAACAATTGAGACTGGATTGAGTTTTTAAGTCTCTTTCTCATGCCTCCAGGTTTCTTGAGTTTTGGATACGAGCCATTTAACTAATGGTCTTTCCCCCTTTGGAATGTGCCCAGA